TGATAATCTGGCATTCTGTGAAGCTCACCTTCCCAACACGATCTCTGAAGATAAAGTGGGTGCATAAGCAAATGTGGTGAAGAAAGCTGATAGGGCTTGGCTATCAAAAGATAGCCAAGTTTGGGATCTTAAAGGCTTGAAGATAAACAAGCGGTCATCTAGCAGGGAAGCAACAAAACCCACATGGAAGATGCACACTAGCCTGTGTGATCTTGAGGTGTTGATGGGATCAGGTATCAGGCATCTAAGACCCAGAACAAAAGCATACCCCATGTGAATTGGGGGTGAGGGCATGAAGTGGAGACCCAAAGCCTATCTGTCACAAGTAAGAGATGAGCCAGTCAGGGTACAGTATAGCACCAATGAAACACACAACTTTCCTCTAGTTCTTTAATGCTTCTTTCCCCCCACTATCATGACCTCAATTCCACCTTACAAATCGGATTAGACCAGAACATGCACACTGCTACAGAGAGAGCCTGTGACACAAGGAATCCAGGATAGATAAACCCTTCAGGGCTAACAGTGAGAATAGAGATACCAGGAGAATAAGGGAAAGGTGGGGGGAGAAAGGAGGAATTGATCACAAGGATAGACATATAACCCCCTCCCAGGGGGATGGACAACAAAAAAGTGGGTGAAGGGAGACATAGGATGATGTAAGATATGAAAGTAGTAATCTGTACCTTACCAAGGGTTCATGTGGGAGGGAGAGTGGGGGAGGGAGTGGGGAAATGAGCTGATACAAGGGCTCAAATAGAAAGAAAATGTTTTGAAAATGATGGTAGCATGTGCTTGACACAATGAATGTATGGACTGTGATGGGAGATGTAAGAAAGAAAGAAATGGCCTTTATAACCCATTACTGAGTTATAAGTTTTTTTTCAAACCATTTTATTAGGACATAACACAGACATCATACAATTCAATAGTTCAGTGATATCAAGAAGGGTACAGTTGCTACCATAATCAGTTTTCAAACATTTTCTTCCTTCTTGTACTCCTTGTTATTAGTTTCTAGTGAACTCCCAGATTCCCCTGCCATACACACCAGGAACCCTGTGTCTAGTTATTGACTATAGATTTACGCATCCTGGGTTTCATATACTGAAAACATAGACAAATGTATGCTAGAGTCAAGAAGGCTACCAACAAAAACAAATGACAACAGAGATAATGCCCAGTTTGAGAGAAAACAGAAAATATGAAAACAGAGCAAACTCAAAATATGTCAAAAGGGAGATCAAATGATAGGGTTTTAACCATTCAACTCAGGTGTTTCATTTTAATCTATAATCAGTTCTGCAATATTCTCTGTATGGTAACCAGGCTATTTCTACCCCTTGATCACAGTCACAGGGAAATCACCAGAGGCTTATTCTATGTGTACGTCATGCAAATGTATTTGGGCTTCCACTGCCATCAATAGCCTTCTGTAAATTAGGTGTTCCCAGTTTAAATTCTGATACCATTCCCTCCTTTGGATTTGGATTATATTATTTACAATCCTCGGATCACACAGGCTGGTGTGCTTCCTCCATGTGGACTTAGTTGACATCTCACTTAGATGGCTGCTTGTTTGCAAACAAGCCTTTAAGAGTCCAGACACTATTCTTTCTGATAGCAAGACATGATCTCGTTTCTTCACCACACTATGCTGTAACACCCATCTCTTTCATGTTTCCTTCATGAGGGCGTGGAGTTATAAGAGTTCTTAATGTATTCTAGATGGTGAAATTTGAAGCTGAGTTATTTCCCCTCTGTTTTCTTTCGTAAGTTTTAACCCTCAGTGGTTAAGACTAGGATCCGTTTGCAGTCATTCTTTTGGTAGGGTGTCATGTAAGGGTCTTCTTTAATTTTCCCCCCACATGGATAACCAGTTGTTGTCATAGCGTTTGTGGTGCAAAATTGTGTAATGAATGCTGGTGTGTACTATCTGCTTCCATTTCTGCATTTAATCCCATTGGGTAAATGCCTAAGAGTCGAATTTTTGAATTGTGTGATTGTATGTTTAACTTTCTGGAAAACCACCAGCCTGTTTTCCACAGCTGCAGCCCCATCTTACAGTTCTGTCAGCCATGGATGGGGGCGCTAGTTTCTTCACATCCTCATCAATGCTCGTTTTCCTCTGCTTATAACTGTCCTAGTGAAGGTGAAGCGATGTCTCAAATTTGGTTTGGATTTGCGTTTCCCTAATGACTCGTGACATCGAGCCTTCTCATGTGCTTTTCGGCTGTACATATTTTCTGGTGAATGTCTACTTAAATCCTTGGTTTATTTTTCAATAGGATCCTCGTTCTTTATATATTCTAGAAATTAAACTCTTACCTGGTATGCGTTGTTGATGCTAGTCAAGTCGCCCCCATGTCATGGTAACTCCGTGCACAACAGAAGAAAGTGATGCTTGGTCCTGCTCCATCCCCAGGACTTGCTACCGAGCAGACCATCATGCTCCATACAGTGTTCATTGCCACATTAAGACGTAGATCAATAGGCCTTACCTCCTGGTCCATCATAGCCTGGTAGCTCTTGTTCAGTACCATCGCAACGCACAGAATGCCAAACACTGTCTCCCTGTCTGGAGGTTGTCTTGTTCACGTTGTTGATAAAGAATTTTGGTGCACAGAAGTTTGATTGGGATGAAGTCCAATTTGTCTGTGTATTTTGGTGCCATGTCTAAGAATTCACTGTGCAGAATTAGATCCCAGAGCTCTGCCTGTATACTTCATCCCAGGAATTTTTGGGCTTTGTTCTAACATTTAGGTCTTTGAGCCATTGGGAGTTACTTTTCATAGATGGTGTGAGATGTGGGCCAAGCTTCATTCTTTGGCCTGTGGAGAGCCAGCTATCCCAGCACTTCTTGGACAGCCGTCTGTCCCCCATTGAATGTGTTAGCTCCCGAGTAAAAATACAATTGGACCTAGATGTGTATGTTTATTTCCGAACTCTCCATTCGGTTCCTTTGGTCTATGTGTATGTCATTATACTAATATGAGACGGTTTCGATTTTGTAGTTTTTAGAGTTTGTTGAAATTGGGAAGTGTGAGTTCTACTTTCCTTTTTGAAGTTTCCTTTAGCTATTCAGGGTCAACTGCAGTTCCATATATATTTGAGGATTGGCTTTTTCATTCTGCAAAGAAGACTGTTGGAATTTTGATGGGGATTATGTTGAATCTAGATTGCTTTGCTCAGTGGTGACATCTTAACCATCCTAAGTTTTCTAGGCCACACGCACAGAATGCACTTGCATTTATTTAAGTATGTCTAATTTCTTTCGGTAATAGTTTGTAGATTTTGTATGGAGGTCTTTCACTGTCTTGGTTAAATCCAGTATTCCTAGGTGTTTTGTTGTTTTAGGTACTGTTGTCTCTTTAATTTCCTTTTCTGAATGGTCATTGCCAATGTATAGAATTCATTAGTTGACCTTGTATCCTGACTTGTTGCTGAATTCATTCAGTGCCTCTAGGAGCCTTCTTGTGGCTTCTTTGGGGGGTGGGGGTTATATATAGGAAATGAGTATTTTGAGATTGATTTTATGATTCATTTAACTGTCTATTCTTTAATGTAAGCAGTGACAGTTGTGTGTGTGTGTGTGTGTGTGTACTTAGTATGTGGATATGCGCCTCCCTGCCTCCCCTTTCTTGGGTCAATGGTAACAACTATACTCACTTCTTTCCAGCTTGTTTTTCACATTTAACAATGTATCCCAGAGATGACTGCCTCCTCAACCATTTGAATTTTTGATGTTTTCATCCAGTGAAGTAACCACCCCTTTCAGCTTCTTACTACCTTGAATTTGTCAGCATGTTCTCTGCAAGGTCTTCAAATGCACAATCAGACTTTATTCTGCATCCTTTTCACCAGGCCATCGACAGCATCCACCAGGTGGGCGTGTACTGCCTGGCCTTGGTTCCTGCGAACACCTTGCCCAAGGCTCCCCTTGGAGGAATTCACATTTCTGAAACCAAACAGCGCTTCCTGGAGGGGACTCTCCACCCCTGTAATGTGCTGATGTGCCCTCACACCTGTGTTACCAACCTTCCCAAACCACGTCAGAAGCAACCAGGTGGGTATAGCTTTGTACCGTGCAGCTGTTCCTTCTCAGAACTGACATTAGGCGCAGCTATGATTAGATGGGGCAGCATCATTGGGCTACTCAGAAGAGAAGCCGTATCTTTGGGGTTGGAGATTAAGAAAGAGAGCACGTTGTTGTCTTCAGGCCCTTTGCCACCTCCTGCCCCCGATGAATCCGTGCTTTCAGTGCCTTCCCCCTTCCCCTGGTAGGTCCTCTCTGCTGTTACAAACCAATTTTAATAATGAGATTCCAGCCCAACATTATAGCTTGGGAAGGTAGCAGGTGGTTCTCTTTGGAGTAGAAAACACTGACCAAAAGTAGACCTGGGATTTCTGAAGAGCCTATGCTGGCCAACGTTGCACTGTGGGGCAGCCCCACTGCCTTGTCCTCAGGAACCGCACTGCACTGAGGCCTTGGGGGCAGGGGGAGGAATCAGTCCCACTGCCCTGAGTGGCTGCTGCAGCCATGAAGAGTAACTGTGATCTAGAAGTCTCTTCATCGTTGGCCAATGGTCATTTCCCCCTCCGTGAGTTTCACTCGTTAGAAAGCTAGTTTCATTTGTTTGGTTTTAAAGAAGGGTGGTGCATTCACTACCACAATCAACTTTACATTTTCTTCTTTCTTATATCCATTGATGTTGACTCCCCATCTCCCCAAACTTCCCCGTCTGTGCTCCAGGTAATTGTTAATCCCCTTGCTGTCTTCGTAGTTTCACCCATCCTGACCTCCCGATACAGAAACACGTACACGACAAAGACAAAGCGAAGCAGAGGACCCAGCCACAATGACCAAATGAAACAGCAAAACCTCAATGGAAAAGAAAAACATAGACTCAGTTTTACAATTTAAAACTACAGTAAATTCAGAATGGGTCAAAGGGAGGTCTAAGGATAAGCTGTGTCCATTTCAGCCCAAATCCACTTTACAGTGCTCTCTGTGTGACAGTAAGGAGATTGACCTTCCTGTGCACGGCCAGTGGGGCTTCACTGGAGACTCGATCCATGTGGGGGACCCTGGAAATGGATTTTAAACTTCCACGATCATCCATAGCATACTGAAAACTGGTTGTTTAGATTTTAGGTTCTGGTACCATTTCCTCCTCTGGGTCTGGAGTTCATTCTTTATCATCCTTGGCTCACACAGGCTGGTTGCTTCTTCCAGCTGGACTTAGCTGACTCCTCACTTAGAAGGCTGCTTGTTTTGAGACAAGTTAGTTTAAGGCAGGTTTAACTATTTTTCATATCTTCGGTTGTGCACATTTTTAGCCCATGCTAACTTTTGTTGACTACTGAATACATAAGCATCACTGAATAGGATGCACTTTCTCAGGAAGATTTGCTTTCTTATGTATATATGAACCATAGTAACAAAGCAGTGACATACGTATTAAGAATGTGATGCTGGAGAGGTCACATAACACTCCCTTGAGTGAAACTCGATGGAAAGAGTCATGTCATGCATGAGAACCCATTCACTTCTCACTGAGGATTTTCTGAATTTTCAGAAGTTGGTCCAGCCTCCATGATTGTAGGGAACCTGGTTGCTGGGAAGAGGCTGGCCCAAGCATCTGGGCGGGAGCTTGCCCACCTGGAGGACAGTGACCAAGCAAAGAAGGTAAGGTGCCTGGCCTTAGGGCATGCTGTCAGCCCCTCTGTGAGGCCCGGTCACTCAGATGCCCTCTTTGTGCAGTTCCTGTTCCTGGCTGATGTGTTGCAGTGGCGTGCCCATACCACACCCGACCACCCACTCTTCCTGCTGCTGAATGCCAAGGTGAGCGCCTGCCCATGGGCCTGGGTCCCTCTGGGGTACCTGTTAGCATCACCTGTGAGACATGACAGGCCTTTTAGGCAGCGACTTTCCTGTCTGATTTTATTTTCGGTGTAGAGCCCTTGGCTTTCACATGGTTCACACAGCCATGCTCTGTTCTGTTCTGGACAGGAGAATGCTTTCCCACTCCCGTTTTCTTGTTTGAGAACAGGGAATAAATACGCACACACGCTTTAAAAAGGCTCAGGTATTTTTGGATTTTTGAGCTCCCAGGTGCTTACACCTACTCACCACGTGTTGACCTGGCTAGGCTCCAAAGACCGGGGATGAGCACATGGGATCATGGAATGGAGGGGGATGACATCATTGTTTCATGCCCAGGTTTTACCGTTATATAGCTGTCGAGCCACCGAGAATCATGGCCCAGCCAAGTTCAGGTATCATCTTCACTTCAACAGCAATGTTACTCTCACCTCGCATCTGGGCGTTTGTGACTGCCAGGCACGTGCTGTTAAGAGGCAAAAAAGTAGATTGTTGTTGTAAATGCAAAATAAGCGGTAAGTGAGGGACTGCTGATTTTTGTAAAAATTAGGAATTTAGGTGTTCTGTAGTTGTTTGCGGCCTTTACCGAGTAAATCCTGTTTGTTGCTCAGATTCGGCTGCAGATTTAGACGTCCTTTTCCCTGTATTTGGAGTACCTGTCACCAAGCCCAGCACTGTGCTTGTCGCCCCCTCGGAAGGAAAGAGGTTCAGCTGTGCTCTTCACATCCCAGGTGTGGCCGACAGACAGACAGACAGACTGTGGATGTGGAGACAGCTAAATGACAGGAGGAATCACACCTGTCTGATGTGCCGTGTGGCTAATGTGGGGCAGATCACAACTGTTCAGCGAGTGCTAGCTTAGCTCTCAGTGCTGTCTGCTGTTGGCCAGCTGTCTTCACACAGAAGTGTTTGCCAAGTGCCGGCTACAGGAGTATTGGTAACAGCATAGAAAGGCCTGCTCTTGTGCCTGGGCAGGCAGGTGCCCTAGCAGCAGAAGTTTGTCCCGACTCCTTCTTGAACCTGGAGCACTGTCCGGTGAGCATTTACTCCAAAGCCTGGAGACAGCCAAGGATTAATATGGGGCCAAAATAAACTGAGATCGTGACATGAGCCGCAGAGGAATAAAGCAGAAGATGCAAGAAGCACGTGTGGCAACATGAGCCCGCGCCCCTGAAGTCTGTGCACGTTGAGGTTGAGGACGGGGGATCCCAAAGCTGCTTCTGTGCACGCACAGGCTCCTGAGCAGCCCAGGGCACAGCCCAGGGCTCGTGACTGCAGTCTGAGCGGGGAGGCCCGTGCTGGATGTACTCCAAGGTGTGACGTGGTGCTGAACTTCGAGGGGTGTGTGTCATTTATGACCCCCGCTGATCTCTGGACTGCCGAAGAGTAGCTGCCAAAGCTGGGGCCACTGGAGACAGTGAGGGATGGAGGTGGAGGCCTGGGAAGTGCTGACGTGTGTGGAGGTTGGGAGGTGACAGAGAGATGAGACTTGTATAGACCTCATGACATGTTGGGCATGGGTGCAGACTCGACTCTGGGATTTCTGCCTACTGACCGCGTGGCCGAAGTATCTGGCACTGAGCACAAGGAGCCAGAGGTTGGGGAGCAGAGATGTAAGGATTCCATAAGTCTGAAGTAATAAGATCGCTAAATGCCCGGTCTGTATCAGAAGACTATAGCGTTTTTGTGCAGCAGAGCAGACACATCAACAATGCGCGGTGTAAAGCGTATCATTCATCACAGACTCTAACAGAGCACTTGGAGAAGCCAACTGGGTTCAGAACATGGGCTCCTCTGAGGGGAGCTCATATGCAGTTCAGGGATGCTGGTTCATGCATCACGATCTCATTTTATCACATGTGTTGTTGGGTGTTTGTACAAATTTATACTCAGTATCCTGCTCTGCTGGGGCTGGAGGGGGTTGGTGTATAGGTGGCTTATGAGAACAATGGTAGCAATTTGTTTTTGAAAAGATAAGACAGTACAGAAAAGTAGTATCAGGTAATAAGAACCTGGAAGTTTATTGCATTATTTTTGTGTGATGATTTTAAAAACCAAACCAGATGGTCTTAGTAGCTGTGTCTGACTCTTCCCTTCTAAAGAGGACTCACCCTTCCAGACTCCCCGGGGAGCCCCCGCAGGAAACACTTCATTGCTGCAAATGATTAGCCCTTGGGAATTACATTTGAAATACAGACCTACATCGAGATCCTGCTCATGGAAGCTCAGAGCTCACAGTGTGTGCAGAGCATGTGTGAGAATCTTTGGAGAACTTGAGGCTTTGCACACACCCATTGACTCATGAGCTCCTTGACTTTTGGACCCAGGGCACCGTGACCAGCACTGCGACCTGTGTCCAGCTGCACAAGAAAGCTGAGCGCATTGCAGCTGCCTTGATGGAGAGGGGACGACTGAGTATCGGAGACCACGTGGCCCTGGTCTATCCCCCGGGTAAGTGCCCTGGCAAAGTCCTCTGTGGGTCTCTTCAACAACGAGCCTGCCCTGCTTTTCCCCTCCAAGCCTCCCTTGCCCTTACACTTCTCTTCCTGCCCCTGGGTACTGCCCCCTCCCCTTCCTGCACCCTACTCTGTCCTTTGTTCCCTCTATGGGTTCTTGCCAGGAACCCCAGAAGGCTTCCATCCACACTGCATCCTGCACCCCTGTAACCATGCCCCCAATCCTCTGGAACATTAGGGCATATTTTAAGGTTTACATTTAACTTTTTAAATGGATACAGATGTAATTAGAAATCATGAATATTTATGGCTCATTCATCCTCTTTTTCTAGTGCAGATTTTATTTTCCTTTTGTTGTTACTGGTTTTTCACTTGGCTCTCTTATCAGTTTCCCCCCCATGCTCCTCACATCGAGAACACAGCATCTTCCCCTGACAGCCCTTCCACACATTTGTAGACCCATAAACGGTCGTTTATGCACAAAAGTGAGCGCATACATGTGTATGTGTGCGCGCGCATGCTGAGTGAGGCTTTGCCAGTGTGCTATGACTGTGAGATCATTTCATATATCCTCCCTTGCATCTTCTCTCATGAAAAATCACTCTATGGAATTCCCTCCAATGCCCCTAGCGATGCTGAAGGGCACTGCGGGCATGCTCTGACAGGTCCCTGCTAGGGCTGTGCTGCCCAGATTGCCTCCATACATTCCTGTCCTGGGGGAGGCCTTCTGTGAGGGCTGGCCTCTGTCAAAGGGCACGCCCACTTATAATTTTCACAGATAGCGGCACCTGTTCTCCACTGGAACGGAAGCACAGTCCCATCAGTCGAGCACAAGGGGCCTTTTAGAACCCATCTTCATCAGCAGTCGGAAGCAGAGCTCCTTGACTCTTGCCCATCTGAGAGCAATGAAGTTCTACCTGTGACTTTTCATTCGCATTATCCTGCTAGTGCACTTGAACATGCATTTACATATGTGGTCTGGCAGGTACCCCCTGAAACGATTGTGTTTCTGTCCTTGGCTTGCTCTTAAAATGGGTTGTTTTATGTCTTTTGGCTATATGTTGTGGTTTTCTTTA